GCTTTAGCAACGACGACGGCGACGGCAACGAGAACGGCAAAAAAAAAAAAAAGGTTTGATTAGCAAAGCAACAACTTTGCACTTGCAACACAGTTTTTTGTACATTTCTTTGCCGTCACTGCACGACTACGACGTGAAAATGCCTAATTTCACGATTTATGGAGAACGTGAACAAGTGACAACGAACTTTTCTTTCTCTTTCGAAGCTTGAGTCCCGTCCCCAAGAAATCAACCCTAGTGAAATTTGCCCACATTTCACATTTTCAGTGAATTGGAATAAACGCGACAAAGTTTGAAAAAACGCGAATTCATTTTAAAAGTGACTTTTTTGCTGCCGTCGCCGTCGTCGATGCTAAAGCTCCCTAATAACGACAAATAAACGTGGCGATCTCTACCACTGATGACCGCTGACTGCGGTCAGCCTAATTTAGTTAATTTGTCGGTCAGACTTTTCTAAATCGATCAGACCGATTCCCTTCAAAAACCCTTCTTAACCCTCGCACGTACACCTAGAGATGACCCCACCGTGGTAGAAGAGACGGGGGGCACCAGAGGTTGCAGCATTTCGAAAAGCTTTTACCTTCAGTGAAAAGCCTTTGACTTTCTCAACAAGATGAGGTATATTTTATGGGTGGTGGTGCGGCTGGAGGCCCGTGATCTTGGATTCTACCAAGAATTAGAAATCAGGTAAATACTGGGAGAATTGGTAATTTTTTGTGCTTGACATGTAAAATAATACACAAATAAGAACTTTGCCTCATTTTATCCACAAACTTCTCTTTAATTGTTGAAAAAAGTTGAAAAAGAAAATAAACTCAAAAATGGTTTGACCACCTGCTACTTATGACGTCATATCTCGTAACCATGGTAACTGATCATCACTTAACTTGTCTCAAAATGAGCGCGAGGAATAAACGAACAGCTACTGAAAGCCTCAGGTGCTGATGTTTGACCGTCTAGGAAAAAAATTCAGAAGAACTTCGCAGTAAGGGAGGTGTGGGTGGCATCCACCCCTCCTGTACGTCCGAGGGTTAATCTGACTTAACGTTAACGAATTTCTTTTGTTGAAACAGTCACTCGCAATAAACAACTTAATGATAAGTCAAAGTAAGGTAAAACAAGAAAAGAAAAAAAAAATACACACCCCAAAAACTTCGCCAATGGTACATCTTAAATGAATACCAAACGTGATAAAATTTTAAAAATTCAGTGTCACGTTAATTAATATTTTCGGCACATTCAACTAATGTCGCAGTTATCTGCGTAAAAATTAAATTCTAAGTCAAAAAGCTAATTATTTTACATTTAGACTGAGTAATTCCATATGATTGCGGGTGACTAAGGTCCGTAACGGTGAAGAGGAATCCTTTGAGTACTGTGAATTGCTGGTGCAGATTTCATCCTCGCTAAAGATCAGAGTTGTCATAGTTTACAGACCACCACACTCTGAGGACCACAGGGTTCCCGTGGTCACCTTTTTGAGTGAGTTCTCCAGCCACATGGAATCCATCATCTTGTCGATCAAAGGATCATCTACTCATTCTTGGGTACTTTAATATCCACATAGATGTCCCGACCGACGCTTATACAGTAAAATTTATGGATCTCTTGGAATCACTCGGTCTTGAGCAGCATGTGAGAGGGCCGACCCACACCCATGGCCACACCCTTGATCTTGTCATCACACGGAAGATGGAGAATATCATAGCTTGTCCACCACGGGTCTGTCGTTATTTCTCTGATCAGGCGACTGTTCACTGTGACATGAACTTCAACAAGCCTGTGTTTCAAGTAAAAAAGATATCATACAGAAAAGTGTAGGCGGAACCTTGATACGGACTGTCTTAAGGGAGATTTAGCACTGTTAGACCTATATAATGGTGGCCAAGGCACTCCCTTGTCATCTTCCCAGCTGGATATGCTTGTACGCGACTACAATGCGAGTTTGAGCAGTATCATGGATCACCACGCGCCATTAAAAACGAAAACTGTGAGGGCTAGGCCCCAGGTCCCCTGGTATTAGCGTGCGAGCAAGCTATCCTATTGGGCGAGCGAAGCAAGCCGCCCGAGAACGCGCTATAACGAGCGTACCTATCGCGCGTCTTACTTTTCACGATATCCCCAAATGGAGAGCTTGCTCGCAGGCTACTAAACAACCAGAGATTCACCAATGTCCGCCAGTATTGTACTTGTAAGTAGGATACAGGAGAGCGGTACTGGGGACAAAATTTTGTCAAACGCCGGAAACGGACATTTCAGTCCGACCAGTCAAAATGGACCACCTTCAAGGATGGTCCTGAGTATTCCGGACAGATCAAACAAATGGTGCCTTTCATTTGATTTCTAGCCCTAACGCCAGGACTTAATGGAAAGCGCCCATAGTCTTTTGCATGAGATACTGCACACGTCACCTCTAACTTTAGTTTTGGGGATTCCCCGACACGCATATTTTATTTTCATATTCTATTTGCATATATTTTTGCCTGCGCAATACTTCGTTTTCAAGACATATTGGCACGATTGGGTGCGGATAGAAGTGAGCGATATATGCGATAACAAGAAAAGGTAACATTAATCGCATGAACGGGTTATTTAATACTAATTTGTTATTTTTGACAATTTGTAGAAGTGGACTTTTCATGACGGCTTTCGTCATGCTCCTAGGAGAAACTTAAATGACAGTAAAATTCTCCAGTACTTGTGCATTTGATCTTAGAAACAGCATTTAAATACCAGCTATTAAATCGTAAACGTTTCTGTATTTAATACTTCAAAATGAGATCGATCAAGTGAACATATACCGCAGTTTTCAAGCAGTTTGTAGAGAGGGACGAAACAAATAACCTAAACAAAAACACTATTATATGAAAGACGAGCCCCCAATCACACCCCTGTCAGTCCCATGTATCTCTTTCTTGTATTTGTTCCGTTTCTACCGCACCTTTTATCGCTGGCTTAAGTTATGTTGCACTAAAATATTCGGGATCAGTATAGTAAAATGGCCCCCGATGAACAGATGAACAGGAAATTTGTTAGTGAATTAACGGCACTTGTTCGAAACATCAGGGCTAAAATTACAATGTTTGACTATAGTGAAAGCGGGAATTCGAATCATCGGGTCGCTTCAGTTCACTGAAAAAAGGGAGAATGATTTGTTAGTATTTGAAGATTGAATTTCTGATCGACATCAAGTTTATATATTCGCCCGTCCGCCAGTTAAGTGAAAGTGAACGAGCGTATTTATAAAACGTTTAATGTCTTTAATGTCAAATTAAACGGTGGTTTATTTTGAATGAATTCGTTTTATCATAAATTAAAGTAGGTTTTGGATACAATTCACAGCGAAAGCGCCACAAATGTACTAACTATTTGGCTAGTTTATATTTCGGTATACATGTGTGACGCCTTCAAATTTATTGTTTGTCCGTTGTCATGTCAAATATAGTAAACAGAACATACCAGATTTTGGGCGCTTTCCATTCAACCCAAAATTCCGGTAATTTCGGTTGGTACATCAAATGGAACGGACCATTTCGGTTTGGTCCGACCGGAATATTCGGGACCAGCTTTGAAGGTGGTCCACCGAAATGTCCCTTTCCATTTGCCAAAATTATTGTCCCCAGTACCGCTCTTTTCTATCCTGCTTACAAGACCAAGTAGTTTCCTATGGAAAGTGAAGTGCTGTGAGTAAAGCATGACATCTCAAATAGTTTGAATCAGTTGCAATTTTTTTCGATTTTTGATATTTGCCATTAACAGTGTCAAATAACTGACGCAACACGACACGTAGGTGAAAAAAAGTGTGTGAAATCAAGCTACAATTGTATAGAAGTCCGTGAGAATCAGCGTTGTCTGAAACCTGTCGACGATATTTAACTAAAGCAATTTATCAATTAAGCTGAAATGGATACGACAAAGCCTGACAAAGCCTGGCTGAATACAAATTGGCTAAAACACCGAATTTATTTACCGTACAGTTCCCATTCTCGTCCCCAGAGCCCGTCGTTTCTTGGTCACGTGGTAGGGAACGGTTACAAATTAAGCCGAGTGGCTCTGGGGACGAGAATGTACAGTTCCAGGAATTGCTTCGAATCGTTCGAATATTCTGAGAAACGTATCGCTTCAATTCACAAGAATTTTTACCTTCACTTGTATTCATAGGCTTTCTACACGAAATAGGATTCCTCCGCCTTTAGTTTTCTACCGCCCCTTTTCGACAGTCGAGTGTTCTTTAGGATATAAACAGTGTTTACTTTTCTGTTTTAGAGCGTAATTATGAGTGTGCTGAGAAGCCACAATAACAAAACGCGCGGTGGCTTGGGTCGGGTCTGTGCAACCGGAATGTACCGTTCCATTGAGCACGTGAAGTTTCCGAAATTTCAAACCGGAATTTTTGTTGAATGGAAAGCGCCCTTTAACTCTTACGGAACAGAATAAAGATCTTGTTGAAAACTCTCTTTTAAAATGTATATTTCGCACTGAAATGTCGATCAATTACTTGACTGCGTCTGAAAAAATCCCTCACAACATTTCTCGCATTGACCTATTGATCTTATTAACTTTGTTGCACTCGCTCATACTTTGAAGACTATTATTGGTAACGCAAGACCACGTGAGCAAAAAAATGAATGAATAAATATATAAAGAGAGGTCCTGGCGACGAGAATTAGTATATCATTTAGACTGAGGAAATGTTTAGCCCCATTCTCAGACGCTCCAGGTCGCTCACTGCCACGTACTCGCTCTCCCTTCCTTAGAGCGTCGCTCGGAGAAACCGGCTAGGACCCGCCTGCCACTAAGTCTGTCTACAACATATACCTACATTTTCTCTTCTTCTCTCAAGGCGCGAGGCGACGAAGCGTTGGCGTGAGATTTTGCGCGAAGCGTGTCTCCTCTGAGTTCCACTCAACGTTTCCACCCTCGGCAGAACTTTCTGATCGTGCGTTTTTGATCTAGGCAAAAATAAAAGCATTTTTTTCTCAATGCATGTTTTTAGGATCATGATGGGAGTAGAGTTATACACCACGATAACACACTCCCATCGAGCCAACCTGCTCGCAGAATTTTATCCACATTCAAATGCCTTGGGTGTACCTAACCTGTCGTGGACGAGCATTCCTCGATACCCTCTTTCTGGTCCTTATGTGGAGATTCAGAACCGTCTGGCGATTGTGAAAGTTCCCGATATGGAAATTTGGAGCTGTGCCATGTCTCCAACAGCAGCTGGCTTTGTTATTGTAAGTAATGTGTGATAGCAACCGTATTTCAATGCAAAGTTCCTATTTCAGTTTGTTCTTGTTGTTGTTTGGGGAGGTTCAAGTAGCTTAAGGTTCGTGAAATCAGGATTTTTTGTAGCTCGAAACAGCATGCGGTCGCACGAGGAATGTAAGAATCCCCTGCACCCCGGCCTCCAACTCCGAACATGTACCACGATGCAGTTATGAATTTGCTCGTCCGACCGAGAGTAAAATAGGCCTAAACGATTGATGGTCTCGTTGTTATTATCTTCTTGCCAGAATAATGGAACTTATGTCCTGAAACTCAACATTTCACCAAGTGCATTTATCTTCAGTAAAACTGATGATTACAATTCTCGTCATCTACGCGGTTCCACAGGAGTTGTTACCCTTGTACTTCCGTCTACAAGACATCAGATTTTTACGCACACCGTGCAGCTTTATTCCGTTGATGGAGTGCAACACTCCTTAGTGTCTTGCCTGGAGCAAACGATTTGTGTTCCTGGACCTTGGCTGGAAGAGTACCAGGAAGGCCCCGCAATTGAACATCCCATTAGGAAGATCAGGCCTCAAGGTGAATGCTAGTGTGAAAATGTGTGTTTTCAAACAGTAGGGTTTTGAGGTTGTAATCTAGGATAGATGAGTGAAGTTGATGCAAGAGTACCAAATATCTGATCTGAGAAACCAACCCGTCGAGACTGGCATGCTTTAGAAATTAGTGGGGTAGAGTTGAGTTTGATTATATGTACAGCGCGTCGATTGCACGATTCTACCTGACCATGCACAAAAAAAATCAGAAAGCGGGATGTGCGACATTACAATTGCTACCAGCTAGCGTATAACGGACATTCAACAGGAAAAGGAAGGAAAATAGGGAAAGGGATTAATAATTCCTCTTTTAAGTAACTGAACATTTCAAAGACTATGATTCTTTTAGTCTGGGCTTTGGAATCCAGAATCCAAGACAGTCTTGGATTCCATTACATGGGGCTAGCTATTTTTAGTAGTATGATATTTCAAATGGTTCATGTTGCCAGGTGTGTGGGCCAGTAACGCGGGAATGAATATTCTCAAGCTGTTTCAGGGCCTAGCAGATGATGGTAAGTAACAGTCACATTTTTCTGTTCGAGCAAAAAGGCACCTCAACCTCGTTTCTACATTGTAGGTTCCAATCCTACTCTTGCCTATAGAGGGGTCACTGGCAACGAGGTTGAAAACGCCTGCTTTGAAGGCTTACGAAAAAATTTTATTTCTCTAAGGAAAGCGAGAAACCTTCATGGAGTATTTAGAAGGGCTTTACAAGTTCGCTGACAAACTTCCGAAGTTCAAAGATTTGATCCCACAGCTATTATATGAGGTGTGTATTTTTATAATTATCGTGTTACTTTGAGCAGCCATGATATCTAACCTACTTTCATGTAGTCTATTTTGTTTGAAGATCCCGCATTGTTCGGCTGATACATTGTAAAGCCCAAGTAAACTAAAAGTTGGCCTCAATTTTAAATGCTATCACAGCTACCCAAAAGTGGCATATCCTACAATAATTTTATGACCTTGAAGAGCTAACCACGTAATAGTGGAATCGTTCCAAAATATTGTCACACATCTAAAACAGTTGCAGTCTCACCCCTTCTCCCCTATTCCCTTGAACCACACCAAGCCCCAGTTCTTCAAAAGGTGGATAGCACTATCCGATGGATAAATATATATCCAGTGGATAACGCGGGCAATTGATTTCCCAAATACTTATCCGCTGGATAGTGATTTATCCGAGGGATGGTGTGCTTCTAAGTATCATCCGGTACTAGGACCGCCAGTGACCTCTCCTGTCAGTGTAGCACCTTTGACGGGGTTGTATCACCGTAACTCCATTTCCTTTCCTTCTTTCTAGCTGGCCCTACTGGACTTACACGAGAACCGCATCGAAGAGGCAAAGACGCACGCAAAGGAAGCACTGCTCTTATCGCGGACATATCACTCGACCAATCACTGTTATCTGCTAGCTAAACTGAAATACGTGGAGTCAGCGCTTGCCCGTAGGGAAGGGCAATATGAAAAGGCTGAGGAATTACTCGACGATTCCGTAGAGGTGGGAATCGAAAGAAAATAATTTGATGCGTAGCTAGGTGCAAATCGTTCGAAGATCCTCTTGAATACTGGGATACTGGGCTAAACCCCAATATTAAATAGTATTCTGGTATAACGTGTTTTGCTAAACTTACAGTCTCCTGCACTACTAATATCCCTCATGCGATGAGTTATTAATTAATTTCTTTCCTTTACTTTTTAGCTGCTACTACCATGTGCTGCAGGTGAAGAAACAGCAAAAAACAGATATTTCTTGGCCTCGTTTTATGTGGAGAAATCTGCTAGAGTTGGAATCTCTGAAAATGAGGAGACCATTGCAGAGAACTGCTTCCAGGATATCGAACGCCATTTAGACGCTGAAATCCGCCCCATAACTAATCGTTTTCAAATAAGAGCTAAAAACAGACGGTTCGCTTTCTATGTCAAGTCTTCGAGACATGTGAAAAATCTTGATTTCCAGCAGGTGCCTGAGGAACAAATGGCCAAAGCATCCCATTTGATTACGGAAATTGAAGAGGGACTTTTGTCATTTTATCTAAAGAAAGCACTTCTAAGCTTCGACATCCTCAAGACTGATTTCTTCATAAGGACAAAGAACTTTGATCAAGGTACTTAATTTACAGATTCGATTCACAGTCGACAGTCATTTTCGCAAGAAAAAGCTCTGATGATATGAAACCATTGGTTAATTTCTGCATGAGTGATCTCATTAATAACATAAAAATATAACACAACTTTCCTTACCACTTTTACTAGTCGACACCAGCCTCAGTAGTTTATATAACAGTCATGCCGGTCGAATAAAACAACCCCTAAATAATTAAAACAAACAAACAAAGCTATTAAAACTGCACCAAAATTGAAATTAGTGCAAAGAATGTCGCTAAAAATTACATTAACTCCTTGTTTGAGGTATAATTATATTACACTGAATCAAACTTTTCGCTCTCCGTCAGGAATTGAACCATCAAAGGAGGCCCTCAAAATTGCCCGAGAAAAACAATGGAAAGAATATGAAGACGTTGCTAATCAAAGATTGGAGCTGTGTGCATGTCGCTGGCTAGAAAGACAGCCCGGGGAAATTCCTTGTACCTTGTAAATGAAGACAACGATTCCGCCGTATTTTAATTAAGGTTTAAGCATAGCTAAGGCATAAGATTAGAGCCAAAAAATGAAACTAGAAGGCTGGTCTTCAATTCTTTCTTATTGGTTCAAACAATCAGATCCAAGAAAAAGACCTCTATAATAATAATCATTATTATATGGCTAAGTCTGTTTTCGCCATGCGATTGGTCAATTTGCCGTTCGTACGTTCCTATACGGACCAAAATTTCAAAATCAAATGCTCATTTCGCAGCTCTAAGTCTCTTCATCTCGAAAAAAAAAAATGGGTTTCAAGAAGGTTACTGAAACGTCTGTCAAGCATGAGGACTTGGATCCTCCAAATTTTAACCTGTGTTTATTTGTGAACGAAGCCGGCGAGGAAGAAACCGAATCGTAATCTTATGGAATTAAGAAGACGCTTCCAGAGACCAACGAAAGAAAGATGGAAGCGACTTCGAGCCAGACACAATGTCCAGTTTTCAAAAGACTCCAGCGTCACGTCGGCCAGCGAATACTTACAGTGCTCTTAGTTTTTTTGACCGAATAAACTATTTCAATATGTCGCATTTGCTGCCTCGTACCCAGACGTCTCTCTCTCGATGAAAATGTGCGCGCAAAGGAAGGCGCGAAGGAGACAACGGGCAAGACGTCGCTTCGCCTGCCTTTAGTACCCTTCCCATGGTCCGTTGCGGTTCATCACCAGTCGCTCGCCTCTACCTTGCGAGAAACGAAGCGCCTGACGAGTAGGATGGCGCATTTGCATTTTGATTTAAATTTACTTTCAATGGAAAGCCTTTTTATAATGTGCTATTAATTCCATGAGCCAATTAAAACTTTCTTTTTCTGACGCCTGTTAAATGAATGTCAAATCGCTTGTCCTGCACTTGTTTCCGCTCTCCCAAACAGGAAGCCATATAATAAACATCTTATTAGCCTCGTTTTTTCGGTCCGCACTTAAAATTACGGACCGATTTTTTTTTTCTAATTTAATTTTCCATCGATTTTCGAGCTTAGGGCCAAAAATCGATGGAAAGAAACTCGGTCCGTAATTTAAAGTACGAATCGAAGACTCGGCTAATAGGAGGTATTTATTCCAAGTTTTCAAAAGAGAGATTATTTAAATCTGTCAATTTAATGGTATAATACGGGTATATCAAACAGGAGCGTTAAGCTTGTATACAGGGCACACACAGAGGGAGATTTTGCCTCTAGTGTTGGAGGTATACACCCCTAGAAATCTTTTGATGCAACAGTTCTCGGAAATGCTATTTCTAGTTTTGTTTTTGGCTATGGATACATTAAGATGTAATTATCGCGGTGAATGACGCATATTTAATGTCAAGTATTTATTGAAATAACTGGTATACGTTTCAGCAAAGTTCGCTTATTCAGAATAAAAAGCCATCTAGCATTGATATTCAGCGGTACAAACTGCTGATAGTCCATAAAGAGAGAGACTTTTAGATAGCTAAGCCCCTCTTAGAGTGACTTCACTTGACCCGTTAAACAGAGACCAACAACTAGTGCAAAATAGCTACAAGTGAACAAAATAAAACGATGAAATTAGTGCATTAATAGTGCGTAATATCCTACTACCTATTTCACGGGTTATTAATTATGTAAATAAAATCACTTCTAAAACATAAAAGGTTAAGTCCAAGTAGTTAGTTGTTACAAAGCAACTATTAAAATGTTCCTTTAATTTTTTGTGTCTCGCTTCATTTGTCAGTTTGGTATTTCTTTGTGACGCTTCGGCGTTTCATTGGCCTCTTTCTCGACCAAGTCGATGCTTTTTAAAAGATCGACTTGGTCGAGTGATCGGACCAGAAAACACTCGCCACCTGCTATCTAACGGCAAACGCCGAATTTGGTTTGTCGGACGTCAGACCGTCCCGAAACCGATCTGACCGATTCCCTTCAAACACCCTTATTAATCTGACTTAAATGATAGAAATATCGATACCACAACACTAGTCACTCGCTTAACATCGCTTAATGGTAAGTCAAAGTAAAGAAACAAATAATGTCACAATAATAATAATGACATTTAAGTCCATAGGTTGTTGTATTTACTTCTGGCAGCCCCAAGATGTACTCCCCACCCCCGGCCCCCCTTCCCCCCTTCTCCACCCCCATTGGAGACCGATGATGTATCAACAGTTTGAGCCTAAAAAAGAAGGGAATCAGGGAAGCATAAAGACTGTTTTTCCAAATCTAAAATTCAGGAAAATCGGTCTTTTTCATTATGAAGACCGATTTTAAGAGAGACATGTTTTCTAAATATTATTAACGCCTTTTCTATTTTTTTACGCTCGGCAAATGGAAAATTGGGCTTTTGTATAATAACAGAACCCGTTTTAACTTTAAAGAGTGGTGAACGGGAACAATTAATTTCTTTAGGTTTGAAAACTACTTTTTGATGCTATGCTTGAAAATGGCACATCTTGGGCGACTGAGTGATTGTTTCGAGCGGCAAGTTAGGGACTGAATAACATTGGCTAAATCACAACTAACATGGTTCAGAATAGCCGCGAGTTCTAATCTGAGCAGGGCTTTGCAATTGCGTTCATGCCTCATTTTCTTTTGACTGCTACGAACACTGACCACTATCGGTTTTTCTGGGCGGAAGGCCGATTCGTGTAAAAATAGCGTTTAAAAAATATTCAGAACCCTGTGCGAGCCAACTTTTCATACATTTCCTTACAAAGCGTCAGGGCAACCGTTTACATGAGAAACAAAAAGTTCGCTCGGCTAGAAGGTAGACCCGCCTACCCTGTCACCCATTTGTGATGGTAAGATCACCCTCCTAGCCCAGACTGCTCCTAGCCGACACAACGTTTCTCAATATAAACACTTCGGCTCGCCCCTCAGCCGTGTCAGCTCGGTCACTGGTGAGGCAATCAGAGCCTGCGCGAGCACTGTTGGCTCGAGCAAAGACTGGTCAACTTTTACTTCTTATAGTAAAACGCTCGCTGAAGTTGACTCGCCTGAGGGGTGACCCTTCTACCCGCGACGGTCTACTCCATATCAAAAAGGGCCTTAAAATTACATTTGCGAGAGATCGCATATGAACTTAAGACTCAACAAGTCAAATTTAGAAATAATAGTTCAGAGATGAAACAAAAACTTAACTTGAATTGCGTGATCTTTTTCAGCGGGTTACACACTGCGCTTTACAAATAGGCGAACTCTGCGAGCAAAAGCCGCCTGTCACAATTGCGTTTTTCGCTGCGTCATTCATAATTACTAACACAGGCAACGAACCCTGAAACTCAGAAACACACGCAACGGATCGAAATCCACCAATCACAAACCATGACGTTTTGAACTCTCTGTTTCCTGAGAGGTTTCCTACGATGATTGACGGCAGCGAAAAACGCAAACGTCAGTTGGCTTTTAAAATTCAGAATTCGCGTGTTTGGAAAAGCACAGTAACTGTATTGCAAAGGCATGTGATGAAAATTAGAGAATTCAACAGTATTTGGCCAGCATGGCAAGGGAAAAACTTTGACGATTCTGAGAGGCCCTAGAAGCAATGAAAGTGCGATGTAATTCCATTATCAGATTTATATCCTATAAGCCGACCTATCTCTGATCAGAGGGTTTTTTTCTCATGCTACAAAAACGTAGTGGATCCTGGTGACTGAAATGAAGCCACGGTGGACGAGTAGGTAATTATTATATGAGACGAAAAGAACTGAAGCCATTATAATTATTTGCGGAAAATAGTGAGAAAAGTGAAATGTAACCGCACCTGCAAACGTTCAGAGTCTTTTTAAATAATAGAACCGAAAATAAAACTATGTAAAAAAGGGAAACGACCTATAAAATACTTGAAAACACCTTTTTCCCTGTTAAGGCACGTGTTTATGTATTGGGGAACCACGCGAGGCATAGAAATGTTCTTCGGTTTCAGTGGGTATAGAACTCGCTACCCCCCCGGATTACATGATCTCCCGGTAAGCTTGCTTTACTTTTTAGTTTAGTTTTATTAGTTTAACTTGGATTTGTATCCACATAGACGAGACGTTAGCATTAAGGTTCCCGCTGGACCTTTCAACAACCAAACGAGCTGCTTCCTGTACTACGCGCGCCCAGGGAGTAAGGAGCTTGGGCGTTGAAACGCTCATACGCGCTCTCTGGTTCAACTGTGATTCGGAGTAGGTCTGGAACTAGTTCGCCTTTCCGCTCTCGATCTGCTGTTAGGGCAAGAAAAATGGCGCCGTCTAGCTGGAGGCAGGTTCGGATTTATTGTTTTATATTTAAGAATTTGTTCATACCTAGCGTGCGTATATCGAGTTATGGATGCACGCGGAACGTTTGGAGAGCACGAAAGATGCGTAAGGGTTGAGTGCTCTCCAAAATTCCCAAGAGCATCCATAACTCGATATACGCACAGCTAAAAGCATGAGCAAATTCTTTTATAACCTAGCTGACAAAAATACTTGCTTTTTGATTAACTACAAAATTCTCGTAACGCGCGACTCAATAACAAACGCTTGCGGTTGCTTACAAACACGCCACAGTCGTCTAGTTTGAATGAAAATTCTTTCTGTAAAACTGAGAAAGAAAATTTGCTTATTTGTTCGCTAACGATCAATGTGGAAACTTAGAAGAAACAAAGGTAAAAGAGTCTTAAAGTCTACTTAAATTAAAGTTAGAAAAATCACATGTTAGAAGTCGTGGAGTATGGTTTGGATTTGCTGAAAAGATGTTTATGTTTTGCTCAGCAAAATCCAGAAAACTTGTTTTTTAGCGAAGACTACTGGCTGTAATCAGCTGTTTAATCGTTCTTTAAAACTATATTCAGTTTACGAACAATGGCTGGTCATTAAGGCTTCCTGAGAAGACCTGGCAGCAGTTCGGTTTTTGTGAGTAATAAATTTGTCTTCTTGTAATTTAAGTCTTGTTATTGCAAGATAAATTTTCCTGCTTCTGATCAGTAGAATTGTTCTGCAATAAAAAAAGTGCATAATTTTTCGCTCTTAAGCTTACTTTAATTATAATTAACTTGTTTTGTAAAGGATAAACAAACCTTAGAAACGGAGGACACTTTACACAAATTGGATATTTTCCGACACAGACCAATTTGTGGTCTTTTCTTTTTGCGAAACATCTTCACCTCTTTTTCTGTTGG